TTTTGTGGAATTCTGGAATACCCCTGGAATTCTGAGGATTCCCCGAGGGAGGGATCGTTCCCTGGGGTCCAGCAGCAATTCCCACTCTCAGCCAGCTCCGACCCGAGTGGGGGAACCTCCACCTGATCCCCCAAATCCCTGCTGTGGGAATATCTGCGTGACCAGGACAAAACATTCCAGGATTGAAATAATCCAAATTATTGACCGAACGCCAACATTTCACCTCTTTTTCCTTTAAAAAAAATCACCATTTTTTTGACATTTCTCTTCATTTATTTCCCTCCTCCGAGTCCTCACAGCTTTTTATGGAAATGCTTCCTCGGAATTCCTGGGATCCCCTCAAATCGCAGTTTCCTCGCAGGGAAACTTCGCTTTTGATCACCAGGTGTGGAAAACTCCTGGAATTCTGAGGATTCCCCGAGGGAGGGATTGGGGTCCAACAGCAGTTCCCACTCTCATCCAGCTCCAATCCGGGTGGGGGAACCTCCACCTGATCCCCCTGTCCCCTAAATCCCTGCTGTGGGAATATCTGCGTGACCAGGACAAAACATTCCAGGATTGAAATAATCCAAATTATTGACCGAACGCCAACATTTCACCTCTTTTTCCTTTAAAAAAATCACCATTTTTTTTGACATTTCTCTTCCCTTTTTCCCCCCCCTCGCGGCCTTCGCTGACTCGGGGAGGGAGAAAAGGAAAAGTCCGTGGGTTTAAAGGCATTTTCACGAGGGGCCGCGTCATCCCAGCCCCATTTCCGAGCCTCTTGGGGCCCTCATTAGGCAGGAATTCGGGCGGCTGCAGATCCAGATCTCCCTCCGAGGGTGTTTATCGGCTCCCGTCGGGGCAGCAATTAAATTTAAACACCCCAATTTACGGCGCGGGCGCTCTGCTGCCCCGTCCTCCCCGCTGCTGCACCCACTTAAATGGCTGTAAATTCATTAACGTCCTTAATTACCCGCTCTCTGCTCCGCCGGTGGGGCCTTTTAAAGCTCCTTCCTTTGTGTCTTGAGGTGATGAGGTTAATTTTTAGCGGGGTTTGTTTTTAACGGGGTTAATTTTTTAACGAGGTTTGTTTTTAACGAGGCTTATTTTTTTAACGAGGTATCCGCGGGATTTAAGTCAGGATTTCAGGTTTTGTGGTTTCTGTAGCTCTTTTTTTAACTCCCCCATTTTTTATTTATTTATTTATTAAATTTCTATTTTCTTGGAGTTTTTCTATGCTTGTGGATCCCTGGGAGTGCCCAAATCCAGGCTGGATCCCCCTGGGATGGTGGGAGGGGTCCAAGGTGGGACTGGATGGGATTTAAGGTCCCTCCAACCCAACCCATTCCAGGATTCCTCGATTCTGGAGCTAGGCTGGGAGAGTTGGGAATGTTCCCCTGGAGAAGGGAAGGATCCAGGGAGAGTTTGGGACCCCCTTCCAGTTCCTGAGGGGGCTCCAGGAGAGCTGGAGAGGGATTTGGGATTTGGGATGGAGGGACAGCACACAGGGAATGGCTTCCCACTGGGAAAGGGCGATATTGGGAAGGAATTCCTGGCTGGGAGGGTGGGGAGGAGCTGGGATGGAATTCCCAGACGATTCCCCATCCCTGGAAGTGCCCAAGGCCGGGTTGGATCCCCCTGGGATGGTGGGAAGGGGCTGGAACCGGACGATCTTTGAGCTCCCTTCCAACCCAACCCATTCCCTGATCCTGCTTTGAGCCGATCCGGGAGATCCCTCGGGAATGTCGAGGTGTTTCCCTGAGTTCCCGATCCCCATTCGTGGGCTGGGTTGGACACGGGGGGATTTTTGGGGGGGCCCTGGAGCTTTCCCAGTTCCCGCATCCCAAGAATTCGGGGCCGGTTTGGGAATTTCTGGGCCTGATTCCAAGACTCCTGGGAGGATGGATCAGCTCTGGAAGGGGTTGAGGGGCTCTCCAGGTCCACCCGTGATCCACAAAACCCCCCAGGGAGCCCCACTCCTGTCCCGGAGGCTCATCCAGGCGGGATGAACTTCCCCACGGGATCATCCGGGTGGGGGAATTAAAACACGTGGAGTTTCTGCCCCAAAAGCTCGAGGGGAGTGGGACAATTTTTGGGGGTCGAAACCCGCCCTTAAAATCCACAGGGATAAATCCTGAGCCCGTGGAAACGCCGGGAGTGGGTGGTGATGGATGAACCCGCGATCCTGGGGACGGCAGGAAGAGGAAGCTGCCCCTTCATCCCATCCCTGGATTCCATCCCAATCCCTGGAGCCGGTCGGGCAGGTCCGGGCGGGGTTTTTGGGGTGCTGGGCCGGTGCCAGCCCCGATTCCCACCCCACGCTCCCCAATCCCGAGGCTGCTTCCTGGGTTTGGGAATCTCTCAGGCGCTCGGGAATCTCGGAATTGCCCAGGGCGGGGATTTTTGGGGATGTCCCACCCGGATTGGGGTTGTTTGGGATGGGGGTGTTCCCTCCAAGATCCCTGCGGAGGATCCGGAGCCTTTCCCGGCTTGGAATGAGCCGCTCTCCAAGTGGGGAGAGCGGGGATGGAGCCCTTTGGAATCCCGGGATCCCTCAGGCTGGAGAATCCTTTGGGATCATCCAACCCGATCCAGGCCTCCAAGGCCAACCCTGACCACATTCCCAAGGGAATTCCGGACACTTCCAAAGGGTGGGGACTCCCTGGGAAGCCCTTCCAGGGCTGGACAACCCTGAGGAATTTCCCCCTCCTCCCCCCAGGTTTTCCAACCCCAAACCTCCCCCCTGGGGAGGGAAAATCCCAAATCCCGGCCCGGCTCCAACCTCTTTCCAGCCTCTTCCTGGATTTCCATCCCCCTTAACCTTAAAATTGCCCTTTTTTTTAAAAAACCCTTTGTTCCCCCATAATTATCAATTCCTGCAGGAATTCCCGATCCCCGAGCCCGGATTCGGATCCGGGTTTATAAAAAGCGGGAATCCGGCGGGAAATCGGGATGAATTTCCCCACCAAATGCAGAAAATCAGCGAGGTTTAATCCCAAAAATCAGCCCAAATGCGAGGCCCGAAGAGCCACTCCCGGTGGGAGGCGGGAGGAGATCAATTTTGGCAGGGAAAAGTGGATTTCTCAGCTGTTTTTTTGGTGGAAAACTCCGGTTCTCCAGTTGGGAAAAGCCCTTTTTCTGCTCCCCGAGCATCCTCGCCCACCTCTGGATATTCCAGCTGTTGAATTTCGGGGATTTAGGAGGCTCTTTTCCAGGCTGGGAAAGCTGGGAATTGGGAATGGGGAGGTTGGATTGGCCAGCCCTGAGCACAGAACCTGGATAGGACCCGGGAGGGGGTTGGGAATTCCCTTTGGGATGGAGACGATCCCGATCCAGCCCCTCTGGAGGTCACGGAGGGGACAAAGGGGAGGTGCCTCCCTTGGGAAGTGATCCCAGGAGGGTTTTTTTGGAGGGTTTTTTTGTTTAATTCCTGAGATTAATTGAAATTAACAGGATGAATTTAAATTTTTTATTGATATTTTTTAATTAATTAAGAAGATGAGTTTAAAATAATTTAAAAAAAAATTTAAAAATTCGTTTAAAAAAAAAAGTATGTTGGTCGATGACAATTTCCCTCCGAGCTTTTTATTTTCCTTTTCAAACTCTGCATCCATTTATTGATTTTTTTAAAAAAAATCTATTTTCAAAGCCCAAAATTAATTAATTAATTTATTTATTTGTTTATTTTACCTTTTTCAAGACAATTTATAAAGTTTGGGGTTTGGGTTTTTGTTATGCCACGAGCAGGGAAACCAGAGCAGATTTTCCCTGTCCCTGAAGAAGGAATAATTATCAATGGAATGTTGTGGGAATGGGAGGAAAGAGGGAACTGGGAATGAGAGAAAAGAGGGATTGGGAATCCAAAGGGAGGATATTGTGGGAATGAGAGAAAAGAGGGAATTGGGAATGGAAGAAAAGAGGGAATGAGAGGCCAAAGGGGGATATTCTGGGAAAGGGAGAAAAGAGGGAATTGGGAATGAAAGGAAAAGAGGGAATTGGGAATGAGAGAAATGAGGAAATGGGAGGCCAAAGGAGGATATTCTGGGAATGGGAGGAAAGAGGGAATTGGGAATGAGAGAAAAGAGGGATTGGGAGGCCAAAGGAGGATATTCTGGGAATGGGAGGAAAGAGGGAATTGGGAATGAAAGGAAAGAGGGAATTGGGAATGAGAGAAATGAGGAAATGGGAAGCCAAGAGAAAATATCCTGGGAATGAGAGGGAAGAGAAACTGGGAAGCCAAGGGAGGATATTCTGGGAATGAGAGGAAAGAGGGAATGGGGAATGAAGGGGAAGAGGGATTGGGAAGCCAAGGGAAGGTATTCTGGGAACGAGAAGAAAGAGGGAATTGGGAATGGGAGAAAAGAGGGATTGGGAGGCCAAAGGGGGATATTCTGGGAAAGGGAGAAAAGAGGGAATTGGGAATGTGAGAAAAGAGGGATTGGGAGGCCAAAGGGGGATATTCCGGGAATGGGAGGGAAGCGGGATTGGGAAGCCAAGGCAAGCGGGGCTGGTGCTCCCGGGATGGGGGGGGGCAGGTCCGACCCCCCCCTCCCTGACCCCGCCAGGGCCTCGTGCCCCGCGATTCCCGCCGGGATGGGGAAATTTGGGAGCGGAGCAGCGGCCGGGGACGAGCGGGATAACCGTAATTAATTAGGGATGCGGGGGGAAGGCCGCGGCAGATAAGGAGAGCTCCGTCAGCAGGGCCGGTGAGTCAGGAGGGATTTTGAGGGGGGTTACACAACCTGCCGGTGCCGGGTGTTTATCCCGCCTCCCTCTCTCTCTCTCTCCGGGGCACCCCTAATTGCACCCCTAATGAACCAACCAAACCCATCAACAACTTTAACGACCCGCCAATTAACCGGGAATGGAGCCGGGCTCCGCTCCCCGCCATCCTATAAAGGAGAACTTCCCCTGGAGAACTTCCCGCAGCTGAGGATCCCTCCAGCTCCCCTAATTTATTTATTTTGGGTTGGTTTTATTTTTTTCCCACACCCCCCCTCCTCAAATCCCGCTCTACCATGAGAAGATATTTGTGCCGATACGACGGGAATTTCAGCTCCTCCTCCGCCCACTGCGGGACTTTGGGGGGCGCCGGGGACGGGAGATACTCCGGGATCGGGCAGGGATACACCGGGATCGGGCAGGGATACTCCGGGATCGGGCAGGGATACACCGGGATCGGGCAGGGATTCGGCAGCAGGAGCCTCCACCACGGCCTGGGGGGCTTCGGGAATGCCCACCCCTCTCCCGGAGGATGGGGGAGGTTCGGCGGATGGAGAGAACCCCAGAGGGGGTTTTATGGAAGGGGGAATTTCCCGAGGTTGGGAAGCGCCTCTGGGATGAGTCCAGGCAGGGGGGCAGCGGGACAGGGGGTGGGACACGCCGGGACGCCCCGGGGTGGTGGCATCGAGGGGGTCCGCGTCAACACCGCCCTGCTGAGGCCCCTGGAGCTGGAGGTGGATCCCGAATTCCAGAGGGCGCGCTCGGAGGAGAAGGAGCAGATCAAGGCCCTCAACGACAAGTTCGCCTCCTTCATCGACAAGGTGGGTCCCCCCCCTGGGTTTTCTCCCTCTTCTCCCTCTCCAAATCCCGGGATTGGCTGAATTCCCGGCGAATTCCCGCTGGGAAGCTCCCCAAGCAGGTGGCAGGACAATAAACCACCACCCCCACCTCGTTAACTCGATCCTTTTTCCAGGGAAAAAGGAAAAAAAGACATTCTGGGAATGTCTATCCCTTCGTCCTGGTGCCTGGGGATGGTTGGAGGCAGCAGGAAAAACTGGGGGGGTGGGTTTGGACATCCCTGTTTTTCCTCCTAATTTGGTTTTTTTTAATTCTTTTTTCTCAAGAAAAGCAAAAACTCCTCTGAATTTTCCCCCAGGAATTCTTTGGTTTGGGGGTCCTGCCTCTCTCCCAACCCATCAGAGACCCCCCCCCAGGTTTAAACATTCACGGCCCTGGAAAACTGGGAGGGTCTGGGGCTCCTTTTTTTCACCTCCCTCCCAAATAATTTGGGGGTCTCATTTTTACAGGTTGGGTGTCAGGGAATGGTGGAGTGGTTCGGGTTGGGAGGGACCTCGAAGTCATCCCCTCCCATCCCACCCACCAGGGGCACCTCCCACCATCCCAGGTCGTCCCAACCTGGTCTTGGACATTCCCAGGGATGGGGAATCCTCTGGGAAATCCATCCCAGGGCCTCCCCACCCCTCCCAGGGAGGGATTTATTCCCGATATCCCAACTAATCTTCCCCTCTTCCCGTTGGGAGCCGCCATCCCTTGTCCCGACCCTCCCTCCTCGTCCCAAAGTCCCTCTCCAGCTCTTTTGGAGCCCCCAGGGAAGGAAAAATGGCCTTTAAAAGTCACTTCCAACCCAAATTGGTCCCTGATCCCACGAAAACAAACTGGGCAGGAGTGAGGGAAAAGCTGCTCCAGCCTGGAATAACTGAGGGAAAATCATGGAATGGATTGGAAAGGGCACTAAAGGTGATCCAGTCCCAACCCCTCCCACCATCCCAGGGGGATCCAACCTGGCCTTGGGCACTTCCAGGGATGGGGCATCCCCTGGGGAATCCATTCCAGAGCCTCCCAGCCAGGAATTCCTTCCCAATCTCCCATCCAGCCCCCCCTTTCCCAGCGGGAAGCCATTCCCTGTGTGCTGTCCCTCCATCCCCTCATCCCAAATCCCTCTCCAGCTCTCCTGGAGCCCCTCCAAGCCCTGAAAGTGGCTCTGAGCTCTCTCTGGATCCTTCCCTTCTCCAGGTTGGACATTCCCAGCTCTCCCAGCCTGGCTCCAGAATCGTGGAATCCTGGAATGGGTGGGGTTGGAGGGACCTTAAATCCCATCCAGTCCCACCTTGGACCCCTCCCACCATCCCAGGGGGCTCCAGCCTGGATTTGGGCACTCCCAGGGATGCAGGGGCAGCCACAGCTTCTCTGGGAAACCCATTCCAGCCAGGAATTCCTTCCCAAAATCCCACCTAACTCCCACCTTTCCCAGTGGGAAGCCACTCCCTGTGTGCTGTCCCTCCATCCCCTCATCCCCAAATCCCTCTCCAGCTCTCCTGGAGCCCCTTTAGGCCCTGGAAAAGGCTCTGAGCTCTCCCTGGATCCTTCCCTTCTCCAGGGGAACATTCCCAGCCTGTTCCCACATCGGGACATCCCAATTTTTTTTTGTTTTTTCCCCTTCTCCAGGTGCAGAGCCTGGAGAGGCAGAACCAGGCCCTGCTGGCCAAGTGGGAGCTGCTGCAGGGGCAGAGCTCGGGCCCCGAGGAGAGCAGGAGCATCTGCTCCTTCTTCCAGTCCTACATCTCCAACCTCCAGAGGCAGCTCCAGACGCTCCAGAGCCAGAGGGAGCAGCTGGATCCCGAGGCTTACAGCATGCTGCAGCTGGTGGGGGAGTACAAGGACAGGTGGGAAAGCCTGGATTTTGGGGGTTGAGAAAAAAAAAAAAAAAAGGTTGCCGGGGTTTTCCCAAAAATTGGATTTAATATGGGTTAATTTATCCATTTTTTTGGAGTTCTGTTGTTGAGGGAAGTCCTTAAATTTCCAAAGAATGCCGTGAGACTTTGAAAATGGGATTTATATTGGGATTTAATTTGGGTGAATTTACCTGGGGAGGGTGGTGGCAAAGCCTACAAGGTGCTGCAGCTGATGGGAAGTTACAAAGACAGGTGGGAAAGCCCGAATTTTGGGGTGTGGGAGGGGAAAAAAGGGTGCTGGGTTTGTCCCAGGTGACAAAAATAGGTGGGAAACCCCCAATTTTGGGGGGGTTGGAGGGAAAAAAAGGGTACTGGGGTTGTCCCAGGTGACAAAAACAGGTGGATAACCCCGAATTTTGGGGTGGTGGGAGGGGAAAAAAAGGTGGCAGGATGCTGCAGCTGGTGGGAGATTATAAAAACAGGTGGGAAATTCCCATTTTTGGGGTGGTGTGAGGGGAAAAAAGGGTGCTGGGGTTGTCCCAGGTGACAAAAACAGGTGGGAAACCCCGAATTTTGGGGTGGTGGGAGGGGAAAAAAGGTGGCAAAGCCTACAAGGTGCTGCAGCTGATGGGAGATTCCAAAAATAGGTGGGAAATTCCCAATTTTGGGGGGGTTGGAGGGAAAAAAGGGTGCTGGGGTTGTCTCAGGTGACAAAAACAGGTGGATAACCCCGAATTTTGGGGTGGTGGGAGGGAAAAAAAGGGTGCTGGGGTTGTCTCAGGTGACAAAAACAGGTGGATAACCCCGAATTTTGGGGTGGTGGGAGGGGAAAAAAGGGTGCTGGGGTTGTCCCAGCTCCGAAAAAAGGGAAGTTCAGCCCAAAATTGCCACACTTAGGACCGATTTTTTTTTAATTATTATTTTTTTCTGGGGGGGGGGAGCTGCCAGAAATTGGAATTGAAGTGGAACTTGATTTGAAATTCGCTTTTTTTTTTGAGGGAGGGAGTGGTTGCTTTGTCTCCTGACCCAGCTGACTGAGTAATTAAAGGAGGAAATGGCAGATAATAGAGGAGTTAAACGGATTAATTGATAATGGAGGTGTTAAGTGGGTCAATAACAGATAACAGATCAATTTTCTCGGTGAATTAATAACCGATAATCACGCACCTCCTCCCCGCCCCCAGGTTCGAGGACGAGATCAACAAACGCACGGCCCGGGAGGAGGAATTTGTGGAGCTTAAAAAGGTGGAGTAAGCGGAGACCCCTCCCCAAAACCGAGCCACAAAAACACCAAAAATGAGGGTTCTGGTGGGTTTTAATTCCGGCTGAACCCCCAAAAAAGAGGCCCAGCAGGGAGAATTTATCTCTGGAAGTTCATCTGGTTCCTTCCCACCTCAGAATTGTGGGATTCTGGGAAATAAACCCCCAAAAATGCTGTTTTTTCCCTCCGTTTTCCCCATTTTTTTTCTTCTCTCAACCCCAGCTCGAGCAAAAAGTCTTTTTTTTAGGTCAAATCATGCCCAGGGGAACAAAATCCAGGGGAAAACGGAGAATTCCGGCCACTTTTTACCCAAAGGAAGAACAAAACCCGAATTTTCCCTTTTTTTTCCACCCCGGGAAGGGATTTTTTTTGGCCCTTGGTTTTTTTTTGGGGTTCATTTTCCACCCTGTTTTTTTTTTTCCCTCCTCTCTCAGATTTTTTTTTCCACACTTTCCCCTCTGTGGCTTTTCCCAGGAAATCCAGAGCTCCAGTGGGGACAATATTTGATGTCAGGGATGGAGTTTTTTTTGAGAATACACTAAAAATCGAATTCCAGCGGAGGATTTGGAGCCAAAAAGGTGAATATGATGATGGAATTTGAATTTTTGGGTTTTTTTTTTCCCCCCCAGGAACTGGACAGCGCCTACATGGGGAAAATGGAGCTGGATGTGAGGGTGGAAATCCTGAAGCAGGAGCTGGAATTCCTCCGGTGTTTACACGAAGCTGTGAGTGATTAAAATCTCCCCCCCTCAAGTCTTAAAAACATGTATTTTTTTGGGGGGGAATTCTGCCTAAATGGGAATTTTTGGTGAGGAGGATTAATTTATTATTAGTGTAATTAATTAGTATAAAATAAAAGTAAATATATAATATATAAAAATTATAATATATCATGTTATAGCCATTTTAATATCTATATATTTTATATATTTTATATACTTTTATATATAGTTATGTCTATTTATAGCAGAAATAATACCTAATTCATGTCATTAATTTATGAAGGCCTTTGGTCCTTTTTACTTCTACCATTAATATGAATTATATTAATATCATAAGGTCTATAGAGTACATATAACATCGATATTTATTTATATATAAATGTAGATATTATAAGTCTATAATGATAATAATGCTTATTATCTCTATGTAAAAATGGAAAATAATATTTAAATAATTTATAAGGCCCATGCATTACATATCTATATTTATATAATCTAGATAAGAATTTATATCATCATAATATATTATCATATATATAATATAGTAATATTTATAACGTACATACACATCAAAATGAACATTTAATTAATTCATAAGGCCTATATAATTAATTTATAAGGCCTTTATCTCACAAATCTGTGTGTGGAGAGGGGGCCTGGTGTGTCCCAAAAGGGCTGGAAGTGCCTGGGAATTCAAAGCAGTGATGGGACAGTGGGAAAATCCCAACCCTGGTTTACCATATGGAAAATCCAAACCAATGGTGGGACAACCCTAAAATCCCAACCTTGGTTTTCCCCTATAAAAATTCAAATCAATGATGGGTCAGTGATGAATTCCATGGAAACTCAACCCTGGTGTTACCATATGGAAAATCTCAAACCCTGGTTGCCGTGTTGAGAACCCAAACCAGTGGTCATGTGAAATCCCAACCCTGCTTTTCCCACATGGAAAATCCAAACCAATGAGGTGATGGTGATAAAATCCCAACCCTGCTTTTCCCACATGGAAAATCCAAACCAATGAGGTGATGGTGATAAAATCCCAACCTTGGTTTCCCATATGGAAAATCCAAACCAATGAGGTGATGGTGATAAAATCCCAACCCTGCTTTTCCATATAAAAATCCAAATCAATGAGGTGATGGTGATAAAATCCCAACCCTGGTTTCCCATATTGAGAACCCAAACCAATGAGGTGATGGTGATAAAATCCCAACCCTGCTTTTCCCATATGGAAAACCCAAACCAATGAGGTGATGGTGATAAAATCCCAACCCTGGTTTCCCATATTGAGAACCCAAAACAATGATGGGTCAGTGGTGAAATCCCAACCCTGGTTTCCCATATTGAGAACCCAAACCAATGAGGTGATGGTGATAAAATCCCAACCCTGGCTTCCCATATGGAAAATCCAAACCAATGAGGTGATGGTGATAAAATCCCAACCCTGCTTTTCCCACATGGAAAACCCAACCCCCCGCAGCGTCACAACCCTAAAATCCCATCCCCTCTGCCCCCCCCCTCCCCTCCAGGAGCTGTCCCAGCTGCAGGGCCTGGCTGGGGACACCGAGGTGACCCTGTCCGTGGATCCCAGCCCGGAGGTGGACCTGGAGGGGCTCCTGCAGGAGATGCGCCGGGAACACGAGGCCATCGCCCGGCGCAGCGCGGCCGAGCTGGACGCCACGTACCGCCACAGGGTGAGCGTCCCCCCGCCAAAAACACATAAAAACACCCCAAAAACACCCCAAAATGTCTCATTTCCCATCCCAATTTTCCCATCAGTACCAGGAGCTCCAGGACGCCTGGGAGAGCCAGCGGGAGCAGCTGAGGAGCAGCCACCGGGAGCTCCAGGAGCTCGCCCGGCACATCCAGAGGCTCCGGCCGGAGGTCGAGGCCGCCAGGAAGAGGGTGAGGATGGTGGATCTCAGCTTTTCCAAGGGGATTTTCCAGGGGAACTCAATGATCCTCTGGAGGCAAACGTGGTGGGGGGAAAGGGGGGGTGATTTCCTTCCAAGCGAAGCGGATTTGGATTTTTGGGAGTTTCATCGGGATGGAATTTGGGATAATTTGCCGGGTCTAAAGCGTTTTTTGGAGTTCTGCTGTTGAGGAAAGTCTTTGATTTCCAAGGAATGTCGGGAGGGTTGGAAAGTGGGATCCAAATTGGGATTTGATTTTGGGTGAATTTACCCCTCTTTGGAGTTTTGTCATTAAGGAAAGTCCTTAAATTTCCAAGGAATGCTGGGAGAGTTTGAAAATGGGTTCGAAATTGGGATTTAATTTGGGTGAATTTACCTGCATCTTTGGAGTTCTGTCGTTAAGGAAAGTCTTTAATTTCTGAGGAATACCAGGAGGGTTTGAAAGTGGGATTTATGCTGGGGTTTAGTTTGGGTTAATTCACCCAATATAATGAAATTTTGGAATTCTGCATTGAGGGAAGTCCTTAAATTTCCGAGGAATGTCGGGAGAGTTTGAAAATGGGATCCAAAGTGGGATTTAATCTGGGTGAATTTATCCAGTTTTTGAGTTCTTTCATTAAGGAAAGTCCCTAAATTTCCAAGGAATGCCAGGAGAGCTTGAAAATGGGATTTAATATGGGTTAATTGATCCACTTTTGGAATTCTGTCATTAAGAAAAGTCCTTAAATTTCTGAGGAATGCCGAGAGGGTTGGAAAATGGGATTTACACTGGGATTTAATTTGGGGTGAATTTACTGATTTTTGGAATTCTGTCACTGAGGCAAGTCCTTAAATTTCCGAGGAATGCCGAGAGAGCTTGAAAATGGGATTTAACTATGGGTGAATTTACCCATTTTTGGAATCCTGTCATTAAGGAAAGTCCTTAAATTTCTGAGGAATGCCGAGAGGGTTGGAAAATGGGATTTACACTGGGATTTAATTTTGGGTTAATTTACCCATTTTTGGAATCCTGTCATTAAGGAAAGCCCTTAAAATTCCAAGGAATGCCAGGAGAGCTTGAAAATGGGATTTAATTTTGGGTGAATTTACCCATTTTTGGAATCCTGTCACTGAGGCAAGTCCTTAAATTTCTGAGGAATGCCAGGAGAGCTTGAAAATGGAGATTTAATTATGGGTGAATTTACCCATTTTTGGAATTCTGTCATTAAGAAAAGTCCTTAAATTTCTGAGGAACGACGTGAGAGTTTGAAAATGGGATTTAATTTGGGTGAATTTACCCATTTTTGGAATCCTGTCATTAAGAAAAGCCCTTAAATTTCCGAGGAATGCCGGGAAGGTTTGAGGGTGGGAATTCCCAGCTTCTCCTGCACTCCAGGAATCCCCCCATGCGGGACCCTCCCAACCACGAGTTCTCCCCCATCCCTCCCAAATCCCTTCCTGGGGCTGGTGGAAGGTTAAATTAACCCCCCTTTATCCCCCCCCAGAATTCCAGCCTGCAGGATTCCCTGGGGGCCGCCGAGCTCAGGGGGAGCCGCTCGGTGAGGGAAGGGCGGGAGAAGCTGCGGGAGCTGGAGGAGGCCCTGCAGGACGCCCGGAGGGACCTGGGGAGGCTCCTGAGGGACCACCAGGAGCTGCTGAGGGCCAAGATGGCCCTGGACGTGGAGATCGCCCTGTACAGGTCCCTGCTGGAGGAGGAGGAGCTCAGGTGGGGCTCTGGATCCGTGGGATGATTCCCAAGGGATGGGGTTCAACCGGGAAAAAGGGCCGGGTCCTGCCCTTCGGAAAAACCCCACGGGCTGGGGACAGATTGGGGGGACAAAGGGAGCTGGGGGTGTTGGGGACAGATTAGGGGGACAAAAAGGGAGCTGGGGGTGTTGGGGACAGATTGGGAAGGGATTGTGTGAGCAGGGAAGGGATTCTGTGAGCAGAAGGAGGGAGCAGGAGGGATTGTGTGAGCAGGGGGACAAGAAAGGTGAGCTGGGAAGGATGTTGTGAGGACAGGGAGTGGACAAGAGGGATTGTGTGAGCAGGGGACAAAGGGAGTTGTGTGAGCAGGGCAGGGATTGTGTGAGGGACAAAAGGAGCAGGGAGTTGTGTGAGACAGGGAAGGGATTGTGTGAGCAGGGCTGAGGGAGTTGTGTGAGCAGGGCAGGGAGTTCGTGTGGAGACAGGGAGGGGACAGATGTGTGAGCAGGGAGGGTTGTGTGAGCAGAGGAGAGGGAGTTGTGTGAGCAGGGTGGGAGCAGGGATTGTGTGGAGCAGGAAGGGTTGTGTGAGCAGGGCAGGATTGTGTGAGCACAGATTGTGAGCAGGAAGGGATTGTGTGAGCAGGGACAGGGATTGTGTGAGCAGGGACAGGATTGTGTGAGCAGAAGGAAGGGAGGTTGTGTGAGCAGGGAAAGGATTGTGTGAGCAGGGAAGGGATTGTGTGAGCAGGGAAGGGATTCTGTGAGCAGGGATTGTGTGAGCAGGGAAGGGATTGTGTGAGCAGGGCAGGGATTCTGTGAGCAGGGAAGGGATTGTGTGAGCAGGGCAGGGATTGTGTGAGCAGGGAATGGACTCTGAGCAGGGCAGGGATTCTGTGAGCAGGGCAGGGATTGTGTGAGCAGGGCAGGGATTCTGTGAGCAGGGAAGGGATTGTGTGAGCAGGGAAAGGATTGTGTGAGCAGGGATTGTGTGAGCAGGGCAGGGATTGTGTGAGCAGGGCAGGGATTGTGTGAGCAGGGAAGGGATTGTGTGAGCAGGGAAGGGATTCTGTGAGCAGGGAAGGGATTGTGTGAGCAGGGATTGTGTGAGCAGGGAAGGGATTGTGTGAGCAGGGAAGGGATTGTGTGAGCAGGGAAGGGATTCTGTCCCTGCCGAGGCCACCCCTGGAGTGCCGTGTCCAGCTCTGGGGCCCTCGGGTCAGGAAGGACAGGGAGGGGCTGGAGAAAATCCAGGGAAGGGTCTGGAGCACAATTCCCATAGGGAGAGGCTGAGGGAGCTGGGAATGTTGAGCCTGGAGAGGAGGACGAGGCTCAGGGGAGACCTCAGCACTCTCATCCCTTGGGATTTGAGTTTTAGTTTCAATTCTTGGTTTTAAATTCAGTTTTAATTTCAGTTTCAGTTTCAATTTTGGTTCCAGTTTTTAGTTTTAGTTTTGAATTCAGTTTTCATTTCCATTTTCGTTTGAAATTCCATTTTAATTTCAATTTTTAATGTCAGTTTAAAATTTCAGCTTTAAATTTCACTTTTCATTTTAGTTTTTAATTTCAGCTTTAAATTTCAATTTTTAAATTTAGTTTTAATTTCAGGTTTTATTTTCAGTTTTTAATTTTAGTTTTTTTAGTTTGAAATTTCAATTTTAAAGTTCAGTTTTAAATGTCAATTTCTAATATCAGTTTTAATTTTTAGTGTTTTAAATTTTAGTTTTAAATTTTAGTTTTAAATTTTAGTTTTTAATTTTAGTTTTAAATTTTAGCTTTAAATTTTAGTTTTAAATTTCAGCTTTAAATTTCAGTTTTAAATGTCAGGATTATTCATTTCCATTTTAATTTGTTCTAAATTTCAACTTGAATTTGTTTTAAATTTCAATTTTTAATTTCAATCTTAATTCCTGTGTCGATTCGAACTTCAGTTTAAATTCTAATTTTAATTTCAGGTTCGATTTTAACACAATTTTCGGTTTCTGTGTCAATTTTTGAGTCAATTCTCATTTCCAGGCCGTTTTATCTCACTGTCTCTTTTCCTCCCCAGGATCCAGGAGGGATCCCCAGCCACGATCTGTGAGTATCCCAAAAATTCCCTTCCCATCTTTTTTAAGAGAACTGAGCCCACTCTGTGCTTTCAACACCCACAAATATCCCAATTCCCATCTCAAATCATTCAGGGAACGACTCCAAGGGGAATTTTTGGGTGGAAAATGTGTCCAAATCTCAGGTGGCTTCCCAATTATCGGCTAATTCCAACCAAACTGGGAGGAACTGGGAATTGTTTCACTTGCTCTACAGGGCAGAAGAGGAGGAAATAAAAACCCATCTGAAAATTTGTGGAAATAAAAAAAACCCAGTCCTGAAATTTGTGGAAATAAAAAAAAAAAAACCAGTCCTAGAAATTTCTGGAAATAAAACAACATTCCTGAAATTTGTGGAAATAAAACAACATTCCTGAAATTTGTGGAAATAATAAAAAGCATTCCTGAAATTTGTGGAAATAAAAAAAAAACCAGTCCTGAAATTTCTGGAAATAAAAAAACCCAGTCCTGAAATTTGTAGAAATAATAAAACCAGTCCTGAAATTCATGGAAATAAAAAAAACCAGTCCTGAAATTCGTGGAAATAAAAAAAAAATTCCTGAAATTTGTGGAAATAATAAAAAACAGTCCTGAAATCTGTGGAAATAAAAAACCAGTCCTAAAATTTGTGGAAATAAAAAAACTTTCCTGAAATTTGTGGAAATAATAAAAACCAGTCCTGAAATTTGTGGAAATAAAAAAAAAAACCCACTCCTAAAACTTGTGAAAATAATTAATAAAAACAACTTCTGATATTTGTGGAAATAATAAAAAACAGTCCTAAAATTTGTGGAGATAAAAAAAAAACAGTCCTGAAATTTGTGGAAATAAAAAAACCAGTCCTGAAATTTGTGGAAATAAAAAGCCAGTCCTGAAATTTATGGAAATAATAAAAAAAAAACAAACCAGTCCTGAAATTTGTGGAAATAAAAAAACCAGTCCTGAAATCTGTGGAAATAAAAAAAAACAGTCCTGAAATTTGTGGAAATAAAAAAACCAGTCCTGAAATTTGTGGAAATAAAAAAAAACACTCCTAAAACTTGTGGAAATAATTAATAAAAACAACTCCTGATATTTGTGGAAAAAAAAAAAAAAAAAAAAAACACACTCCTAAAACTTGTGGAAATAATTAATAAAAACACTCCTGAAATTTGTGGAAATAATAAAAAGCACTCCTGAAATTTGTGGAAATAAAAAAAACAGTCTTGAAATTTGTGGAAATAAAAAACAGTCCTAAAATTTGTGGAGATAAAAAAAAAACAGTCCTGAAATTTGTGGAAATAATAAAAAACAGTCCTGAAATTTGTGGAAATAATAAAAACAGTCCTGAAATTTGTGGAAATAATAATAAAAAAAAAAACCAGTCCTGAAATTTGTGGAAATAAAAAACCTCTCGTGAAATTTGTGGGATTAATTAAGAAAAACAACTCCCGAAATTTTGTGGAAATCAAAACCAGCTCCTGAAATTCGTGGGAATGGGAGGCAGAGAAACTCAGAGTCTCAACCTTCCCTAAACAGGGAGAGGGAAAAAAAGACAGAAATCAGGTTAAAAATAAATTAAACCCCCAGAAAAAAAAGGGATAAAACATTCCATGGGTCGATCTCTGCCCCGGAGATCCTTCAAGGGATGGCCCTAAGGGAAGGAATGTCCTAAAATCCCAATTTTGGGGGTTGAAAAGAGCACAGGGTGGATTTGAATCCATCCTTTTTTCCTTGCAGGTGTCATCGAGCACAGCACGAGAACGAGCGGGGCCTTCGAGGCGGGACCCGGAGGGACCAAGGGGGGGAAAGGGGGAAGCAGCTCCGGAGGGGGCGGGATGAGGGGACCCATCTCTGGAGGGGGGAAAAGGGGGAGCTCTGGAGGGGGGGGATCCATGTCTAGGGGTGGAGGGTCCATGTCTGGAGGTGGATCCATGTCTGGAGGAGGAAAAGGTTCAGGGTATGGAGGAGGAAGTTCAAGCAGTAGTGGATCCATGTCTGGAGGTGGGAAAGGTTCAGGATATGGAGGAAGTTGTGGTGGAGGATCCATGTCTGGAGGTGGATCCATGTCTGGAGGTGGGAAAGGCTCAGGATATGGAGGAGGAGGAAGTTCAAGTGGTGGATCCATGTCTGGGGGTGGGAAAGGTTCAGGATATGGAGGAAGCTGTGGTGGAGGATCCATGTCTGGTGGTGGATCCATGTCTGGAGGTGGATCCATGTCTGGAGGTGGGAAAGGCTCAGGGTATGGAGGTGGAAGCTCTGGTGGTGGTGGATCCATGTCTGGTGGTGGGAAAGGCTCAGGATATGGAGGAGGAGGAAGTTCAAGTGGTGGATCCATGTCTGGAGGTGGGAAAGGCTCAGGGTATGGAGGAGGAGGAAGCTGTGGTGGAGGATCCATGTCTGGAGGTGGTGGATCCATGTCCGGAGGTGGGAAAGGCTCAGGATATGGAGGAGGAGGAAGTTCAAGTGGAGGATCCATGTCTGGAGGTGGTGGATCCATGTCTGGTGGTGGGAAAGGCTCAGGATATGGAGGAGGAGGAAGTTCAAGTGGTGGATCCATGTCTGGAGGTGGGAAAGGCTCAGGATATGGAGGAAGCTGTGGTGGAGGATCCATGTCTGGAGGTGGATCCATGTCTGGGGGTGGTGGATCCATGTCTGGAGGTGGGAAAGGCTCAGGGTATGGAGGAAGTTCAAGCAGTGGTGGATCCATGTCTGGAGGTGGAGGATCCATGTCTGGAGGTGGGAAAGGCTCAGGGTATGGAGGAGGAGGAAGTTCAGGGGGTGGATCCATGTCTGGGGGTGGGAAAGGCTCAGGATATGGAGGAGGAAGTTCAAGCAGTGGTGGATCCATGTCTGGGGGTGGATCCATGTCTGGAGGTGGGAAAGGTTCAGGATATGGAGGAAGTTGTGGTGGAGGATCCGTGTCTGGAGGTGGGAAAGGCTCAGGGTATGGAGGAGGAAGTTCAAGCAGTGGTGGAT